TCAAATGTTGGAGGCTGACAGCACTTTGCTGCACCGGTAATACGACAGGAAAAGGGGTACATGACCATATAAAGTCTGCTAATTATAATTAAGAATCCAAACTACATACAGCAGGGTCCTGAGGAATAGATTCAACCAATAGGTGGAGGCACAGCACATGGTTTGCAGCTTTTATGATGAGGATGTGATGATGATTAACCCACACACAGACACAACCCCCCTCCCTCTTCATCCTGAGCCTTATTTTTCTTCGTGCAATACTTTACTCACATCAGTGCCTGACCATGTCCTCATCTGTGCTAATCTTTGCTCTTCTCTTTATCTGTTTTCATTGTAAGAAATGTCATCCTGAATTGAACATTAAAGTAGTCGTTATATCATTATTTATATAACATGCTGAACATAATCTCTGCTTCCTCCACAGGTAAAGTGAGCGCTGTTAGGTTTCAGCAATCTCCTCCCCAGATAGTGAAGGAGAAAACCACTGTTCAGATTAACTGCAGCCACGATGACACTAGCCTTCTATTAATGCTCTGGTATCAGCAAAGACAGGACAGTCTGTCTATGACCCTCATTGGGTCTGGATATGGAACAGGTAGCCAAAGCTACGAGGATCAGTTTGAAGAACAATTCAAGCTGACAAGAGAAGGCACAGCCAGAGGAACGCTGATGATTCACAGAGCAAACCTGTCGCACTCGGCTGTGTATTACTGCGCTGCAAGTACACAGTGATGTGATTTAATGCCACTCCCTCACTAAAAACCTTCACCATCCTGTGAATGAGACATTTGCAGTTGAGGCGCTCTCTCTTAATACATTGTTGGAGGAGGCTGTGTCCCTCCTGCAACAGCACAAATTTGAAAATGTCTCCAGCCGTGATATCATTTCTGCTCATCTTGCTTCCATCTAATGAAATTAGCTGCAAAAACTCCAATTTAACTGTGTTGTTAATTTACAAAGACATTTTACCTTTTTTCACTGGGGCTTCTGTATCATTTACTTTTAAAATCTGTGTTTTTCCCACAGATCGAGCCAAGAGTGTGACATTTCAGCCATCTCTTCCTAGAATAGTCGAGGACAAGGCCAGAGTAGAAATTACATGCAGTCTTAATGATAACAACCTCTATGTAATGCTCTGGTACCAGCAAAAGAGAGAGGTTTGATGAGCTTGATTGGATTCAGCAGTTCTGGCAGTGAGCCTAACTATGAGAAACAGTTTAACGATCGGTTTGAGATTACAAGAACAGAAGTCAAAATAGGAGCTCTGATTATTCAGAGTGTGAATCTATCAGACACGGCTGTGTATTACTGCGCTACCAGTACACAGTGATGCGGTTTAATGCCACTCCCTCACTAAAAACCCTCACCTTCCTGTGAATGAGACATTTGCAGATGAGGCAGTGTCTCTCTTTACACTGACTCTCACTGGTGGAAGCTGTGTTTCTCTTGCTGCAGAGCAAACCTGGAGGATGTCTCCAGTTGTGATCGGATTTCTTCTCTTCTTGTTGCCATGTAATGAAATTACCTACAGACAACAATTTAACTGTGTTCTCAATATTATACAGGAAAAGATTAATGGCTTTCTCTTTTTTTTTTTTTTTTTCCACAGTTGCTTATGTATCAACAACTATTCTTAATGTGTGCTTTCCCATCAGATCGAGGCCGAGCTAAGAGTGTGACGTTTCAGCAGTCTCCTCCAAAAATAGTCACTAAAAAGACCAGAGTGGACTTTAAATGCAGTCATGATGACAATAATCTTGATGTAATGCTCTGGTACCAGCAAACAGAGAGTGGTCTGATGAATTTAATTGGATACAGCTACATTAACAATGAACCCACATATGAGAAAGAGTTTAAAGATCGGTTTAAGATTACAAGAAATGACACCCAAGCAGGAGCTCTGATTATTCAGAGTGTGAATCTGTCAGACTCAGCTGTGTATTACTGCGCTGCCAGTACACAGTGATGTGGTTTAATATCAGCCCTCACTAAAAACCCTGTTCTCTTCTTTCTCTCTGTTTCAAGTTCAAGATCCTGAGAGGCAGGCTGGTGTAAATAGCTTCAAAACAGATAAACAAAAATAATGTGACTCTTTACAGTCACACAGTCTCAAAGAAGTCCTTTTACTTAAAACTCACTTTTAGAGCACACAATAGAATTGATGGCTGCAATATACAGGCAAAATTGTATGCAATGACCAACTCATTTCATTTTTAATTTCAGACTGCCTCATATCCCAGCTATGACAGATTTCCCCAATTTATCCAAATCCATTACTGCTGTTGGTATGTACACTTTACCACCTACAGCAGATCAAACTAAATCAACAAAAGTGAAGCTCAAAATACAAATGCAGTGAGCCAGTGCTGTCTTTTATAACAACAAAAAGCTATAGGAAAACTTTTCACCCCTCAGTACAAGCAGAGGGAAGGAGATAGTAATAACAGAGACAATAATATGGCAAAGCAGAATAGCAACATAGGCAGCAATCTGTTGCATAACCAATTCAGCCACAACACACTCAAGATGCTCAACCTTGAGTTTTCATATTTCACTATTAAAGAATCATACAAGTGCCAAACAACAACCAATGGGAAAAGTCTCAGCCATTCAAAGACATAACAATTAACAGAAAAAAATAGCAGCTCAAGAATTATCACATAGCACAAAACATAAACTCTTACCTTGCTGGGGTGAAGCTTTGATTTCTAGCAATTCCGAGAAGAGAAACTCCATTGGAATAAAATCCCAAACAGCCAAAAGCAGGAACGGAAAACTCTGGATGGAAGTTTGAAGGTGGCCTTTGCAGCCAACCGTTGGTGTTAGGATCCATGTTTGATATCAACAACCGATGAATTGACTACATTGGCAGGTTGAAGTGCTGTGAAGACATCAAAAAACCTCCACATGTCCTCCTGAAGCAACGCTAATTAAAACGTTTACCTTTAAACTTTTAAAAACTCTAACGAGTGGGCGGGGCATTGTCAGTTTAAAAAGACAGTGTTGACCAATCAGATTCCACCTTGGCTCAATTAGCTGGTTTTCATCCAATCACCTCAGTAGGTGATTAATTAATTGAACACACTTTTGTTTGTCAGTAAACAGAGATATATTGTATAAATTCATTCACTGAATATTGAAGTTATAGGGATAGTATTCTCCATTTATATACATGAACACATATTATCCCATTAAAGTAATCACAATTATCATCAATAAATTGGTATTAAGTTTTTTAATGTAATAAAAGATGTCGGATGAATTATAGGAAGTTAAGCTAATTATAAATATCTGAAAATAATAGATGCTCTTTGGATCACAGATGATCTTTGGTGAGGATGAAAACCTACAGATAACCCTGGCTTATTTGTAAAAAGGCACTGCATTGAAGTTTTTAAACAACTTTGTTTACAAAAGCCCTTACAAGTAACCAGAAGATCTATAAAGGGAATAAACAAATAACTTGTAAGGTGGAGGCAGTATACATTAAAAACTATAAATTAGAGTGTTAGTGGGGGTTTTTTGACAAGAGGAGCTGAGCAGAGGAAGAAGGTGGAGAAGAGGAGGTGTGACTTATGGAGAAGGGAAGTCATCTCTCATTTAATCTGCAATAAGTTTGTCAGACCGGAGGAACATGCAAATGTTGCACCTCTGACACCAGATTTCAGTAAATGCTGTCATTGTAAAGTTGATATGGAAACAATTGTGCATTTCTTTTTGTTATTTGTTGCTGTTACACAGGTGTTGATTTAACTTTAGTTTCCAGGATGCCTCCAGCTTTATGCACATTTGGATTTTTACTGCTCCTTCTTACAAGTAAGCCTGAATCACTGATATATTACTTTTTAAAAGAATATTAAGTACTGTTGTCTCTGTAATCAGCACCACTCTGTGCTTATGGGACAACAAATTTCAAATGACTTCCTACAAATTGCTTGAATTCAGACTTTACCTTAATGACATAAATTGACCTTGTTCACAGGAAAAGTGCAGAGTGTTACCTTTGAACAGTCCTCTGCTCAACTTGTGAAGGACGGGACCAAGGAGGTCACGATTGATTGCAGTCACGATGACAGCAACCTCCAATATATGCTGTGGTACCAACACAAGCCGAGCAGTGGGTCTATGAGCCTCATTGGGTACTCAGTCCCCAATGGTGAACCAAACTACGAGGTCCAGTTTAAAGACAGATTCCAGATAAAAAGCGGCACACAGAAAGGATCTCTGATCATTCCAACAGCGAATCTGTCAGACTCAGCTGTGTATTTCTGCGCTGCTAGCACACAGTGATGTGGTTTAATACAACTGCTTCACTAAAAACCTCCTACGACATGGGAACAATAACAGCTGTGGCTCTGGGTTCTAGTCATTTGAGATTGTGGAGAATTCAAATGTTGGAGGCTGACAGCACTTTGCTGCACCGGTAATACGACAAGAAAAGGGGTACATGAGCATATAAAGTCTGCTAATTATAATTAAGAATCCAAACTACATACAGCAGGGTCCTGAGGAATAGATTCAACCAATACGTGGGGGCACAGCACATGGTTTGCAGCTTTTATGATGAGGATGTGATGATGATTAACCCCCGCACAGACACAACCCCCCTCCCTCTTCATCCTGAGTCTTATTTTTTTTCGTGCAATACTTTACTCACATCAGTGCCTGACCATGTCCTCATCTGTGCTAACCTTTGCTCTTCTCTTCATCTTTTTTCATTTTAAGAAATGTCCTCCTGAATTGAACATTAAAGCAGTCATTATATCATTATTTATACAACATGCTGAACATAATCTCTGCTTCCTCCACAGGTAAGGTGAGCGCTGTTAGGTTTCAGCAATCTCCTCCCCAGATAGTGAAGGAGAAAACCACTGTTCAGATTAACTGCAGCCACGATGACACTAGCCTTCTATTAATGCTCTGGTATCAGCAAAGACAGGACAGTCAGTCTATGACCCTCATTGGGTCTGGATATGGAACAGGTAGCCAAAGCCACGAGGATCAGTTTGAAGAACAATTCGAGCTGACGAGAGAAGACTCAGCCAGAGGAACGCTGATGATTCACAGAGCAAACCTGTCGCACTCGGCTGTGTATTACTGCGCTGCAAGTACACAGTGATGTGGTTTAATGCCACTCCCTCACTAAAAACCCTCACCATCCTGTGAATGAGACATTTGCAGTTGAGGCGCTCTCTCTTGATACATCGTTGGAGGAGGCTGTGTCCCTTCTGCAACAGCACAAACTTGAAAATGTCTCCAGCTGTGATAGCATTTCTGCTTATCTTGCTTCCATGTAATGAAATTAGCTGCAAAAACTGCAATTTAACTGTGTTGTTAATTTACAAAGACACTTTTACGCTTTTACCTTTTTTCACTGGGGCTTCTGTATCATTTACTTTTAAAATCTGTGTTTTTCTCCACAGATCGAGCCAAGAGTGTGACATTTCAGCCATCTCTTCCCAGAATAGTCGAGGACAAGGCCAGAGTAGAAATTACATGCATTCATGATGATAACACCCTCTATGTAATGCTCTGGTACCAGCAAAAAGAGAGAGGTTTGATGAGCTTGATTGGATTCAGCAGTTCTGGCAGTGAGCCTAACTATGAGAAACATTTTAAAGGTTGGTTTAAGATTACAAGAAATGACACCCAAACAGGAGCTCTGATTATTCAGAGTGTGAATCTATCAGACACGGCTGTGTATTACTGCGCTGCCAGTACACAGTGATGTGGCTTAATGCCACTCCCTCACTAAAAACCCTCACCATCCTGTGAATGAGACATTTGCAGTTGAGGCAGTGTCTCTCTTTACACTGACTCTCACTGGTGGAAGCTGTGTTTCTCCTGCAGCAGAGCAAACCTGGAGGATGTCTCCAGTTGTGATCGGATTTCTGCTCTTCTTGTTGCCATGTAATGAAATTACCTACAAACAACAATTTAACTGTGTTCTCAATGTTATACAGGAAAAGATTAATGGCTTTCTCTTTTTTTTTTCCACAGTTGCTTCTGTATCAACAACTATTCTTAACGTGTGCTTTCCCCACAGATAGAGGCCGAGCTAAGAGTGTGACGTTTCAGCAGTCTCCTCCAAAAATAGTCAACGAAAAGACCAGAGTGGACTTTAAATGCAGTCATGATGACAATAATCTTGATGTAATGCTCTGGTACCAGCAAACAGAGAGTGGTCTGGTGAATTTAATTGGATACAGCTACATTAACAATGAACCCACATATGAGAAAGAGTTTAAAGATCGGTTTGAGATTACAAGAAAAGACATCCAAACAGGAGCTCTGATTATTCAGAGTGTGAATCTATCAGACATGGCTCTGTATTACTGCGCTGGCAGTACACAGTGATGTGGTTTAATGCCACTCCCTCACTAAAAACCCTCACCTTCCTGTGAATGAGACATTTGCAGATGAGGCAGTGTCTCTCTTTACACTGACTCTCACTGGTGGAAGCTGTGTTTCTCCTGCAGCAGAGCAAACCTGGAGGATGTCTCCAGTTGTGATCGGATTTCTTCTCCTCTTGTTGCCATGTAATGAAATTACCTTCAAACTATATTGATGTTTTTTTTCCACAGTTGCTTCTGTATCAACAACTATTCTTAATGTGTGCTTTCCCCACAGATCGAGGCCGAGCTAAGAGTGTGACGTTTCAGCCGTCTCCTCCAAAAATAGTCACTAAAAATACTGAAGTGGACTTTAAATGCAGTCACAATGATAGCAGCCTTAATGTAATGCTCTGGTACCAGCAAACAGAGAGCGGTCTGATGAATTTAATTGGATACGGCTACCCTGGCACTGACCCCACATATGAGAAACAGTTTGAAGATCGGTTTAAGATTACAAGAAAAGACATCCAAGCAGGAGGTCTGACTATTCAGAGTGTGAATCTGTCAGACTCAGCTGTGTATTACTGCGCTGCCAGTACACAGTGATGTGGTTTAATATCAGCCCTCACTAAAAACCCTGTTCTCTTCTTTCTCTCTGTTTCAAGTTCAAGATCCTGAGAGGCAGGCTGGTGTAATTAGCTTCAAAACAGATAAACAAAAATATTGTGACTCTTTACAGTCACACAGTCTCAAATAACTCCTTTTACTTAAAACTCACTTTTAAAGCACACAGTAGAATTGATGGCTGCAATATACAGGCAAAAACTGTATGCAATGACCAACTCATTTCATTTTTAATTTCAGACTGCCTCATATCCCAGCGATGACAGATTTTCCCAATTCATCCAAATCCATTACTGCTGTTGGTATGTACACTTTACCACCTACAGCAGATCAAACTAAATCAACAAAAGTGAAGATCAACATACAAATGCAGTGAGCCAGTGCTGTCTTTAATAACAACAAAAAGCAATAGGAAAACTTCTCACCACTCAGTACAAGCAGAGGGAAGGAGATAGTAATAACAGAGACAATAATATGGCAAAGCAGAATAGCAACATAGGCAGCTATCTGTTGCATAACCAATTCAGCCACAACACACTCAAGATGCTCAACCATGAGTGTTCATATTTCACCATTAAAGAATCATACAAGTGCCAAACAACAACCAATGGGAAAAGTCTCAGCCATTCAAAGACATAAAAATTAACAGAAAAAATAGCAGCCAAGACAGCAGCTCAAAAACATCGCCACGTTAAATTTAAACTTATGATGCAAAAAAATCACTCCCAATCATATTGCAATCATAATTATCTGTCAAAATAAAAGCATTATGATGTATTTTAAAAACATCAACTCACAATATACAGGTTAGCACAAAATATAAACTCTTACCTTGGTAAGGTGAAGCTTTGATTTCTAGCAATTCTGAGAAGAGAAACTCCATTGGAATAAAATCCCAAGCAGCCAAAAGCAGGAACAGAAATGTCATGGCTCTGCTCCCCTCCTGCTCCCTTTGCTCCTCCCCCTTCCCTGTGTGTCTGAGGGTGCGGCCTCCATTCTCCTCACCTGCTGCCTGCTGTCTCACCTGCTCTCAATCATTCATCATGCCTCAGTCTTCAAGAACCCCGGTCTTCCTCCCATTCCTCGCCAGATTGTTTCAGCCTATGTGGTGGTAACTCTCGTGGCTCCTCTCAGTATTGAGTTAGGCAACTTCAAGCCCTCTTGTGTTTTCCCTGTGCCTGTCCCCTTGTCTAACCGTTTCTCTCCTGTGCCCCAGGGTCCCTTGTGCAGTTTGGCTTCCTGTGTCCGCTCTCCTGTGCCTCTGTGTCTCCGGTCTCTTCTGCCATCTCACCCACCCGTTCCTGCTGTGGCCGCCCATCATCCCCCTGTGTGTGTGTGTATGCGTGGAATAAAACCCCTTTAAACCTTCCATACTGTCTGGGTGTCTGCTCCTGGGTCCAGTCCTAACACCAGCCCTGTCAAGAAAACTCCAGATGGAAGTTTGAAGGTGGCATTTGCAGCCAACAGTTGGTGTTAGGATCCATGTTTGATATCAACAACCAATGAATTGACTACATTGGCAGGTTGAAGTGCTGTGAAGACATCAAAAAACCTCAACATGTCCTCCTGATGCAACATTAATAAAAGGTTTAGCTGTAAACTTTGAAAAACTAGCTTAATTTACTGTATTTTCCGCTGTGTAACGAGTGGGCGGGGCATTGTCAGTTTAAAAAGACGGTGTTGACCAATCAGGGTCCACCATGGCTCAATTACCTGGTTTTCATCCAATCACCTCAGAAAGTGATTAATTAATTGAATATATTTCCGTTTTTCAGTAAACAGAGACATATTGTATGAATTCATTCAAAATATGAAAGTTATAGGGATAGTATTCTCCATTTATATACATGAACACATATTATCCCATTAAAGTAATCACAATTATCATCAAGCATAAACTGGTATTAAGATTTTTAATGTAATGAATTAATTAAAAAAATAAATTATAGGAAGTTAAGTTAATTATAAATATATATATATATATATATATATATATATGAAAATAATAGCTGCTCTTTGGATCACAGATGGTTTTTGTTGGGGATGAAAACCTACAGATAACCCTGGCTTATTTGTAAAAGAAAGAAAAAAGGCACTGCATTAAAGATTTGAACTTTATTTACTAAATTCTTAGAAGTAAAAAGAAAATCTCTGAAAAGAATATAAAAAGAGGTTCTAAGCAGGAGGCAGTATACATAGAACTACAACATGATGAATTAAAAATGTTCAATAATACAACTACAAATTAGTTTTAGAAGAGAGATTATTAGTATCATTATTGATTATTGATTGATTATTATGATGATTATTAGTATAAAAGGTCAAAAACTTCAGATTTTCTAACTTCAGCCATTATACTGAGCAAAACCAATAGTAATTTAAGTGTATTCATTTGTGAAGAATAAAAGTGCAGCACTTTTTACAAGAGAAGCTGAGCAGAGGAAGAAGGTGGGGAAGAGGAGGTGTGACTTATGGAGAAGGGAAGTCATCTCTCATTTAATCTGCAATAAGTTTGTCAGACCGGAGGAACATTTGAATGTTACACCTCTGACACCAGATTTCAGTAAATGCTGTCATTGTAAAGTTGATATGGAAACAATTGTGCATTTCTTTTTGTTATTTGTTGCTGTTACACAGGTGTTGATTTAACTTAAGTTTCCAGGATGCCTCCAGCTTTATACACATTTGGATTTTTACTGCTCGTTCTTACAAGTAAGCCTGACTCACTGATATATTACTTTTTAAAGAATATTAAGTACTGTTGTCTCTGTAATCTGCACCACTCTGTGCTTATGGGACAACACATATTAAATTAATTCCTACAAATTGCTTGAATTCAGACTTTACCTTGATGACACAAATTGACCTTGTTCACAGGAAAAGTGGAGAGTGTTACCTTTGAACAGTCCTCTGCTCAAGTTGTGAAGGACGGGACCAAGGAGGTCACGATTGATTGCAGTCACGATGACAGCAGCCTCCGAGCTATGCTGTGGTACCAACACAAGCTGGGCAGTGGGTCTATGAGCCTCATTGGGTACTCAGTCCTCAATGGTGAACCAAACTACGAGGTCCAGTTTAAAGACAGATTCCAGATAAAAAGTGGCATGCAGAAAGGATCTCTGATCATTCCAACAGTGAATCTGTCAGACTCAGCTGTGTATTTCTGCGCTGCTAGCACACAGTGATGTGGTTTAATACAAGTGCTTCACTAAAAACCTCCTACGACATGGGAACAATAACAGCTGTGGCTCTGGGTTCTAGTCATTTGAGATCGTGGAGAAATCAAATGTTGGAGGCTGACAGCACTTTGCTGCACCGGTAATACGACAGGAAAAGGGGTACATGAGCATATAAAGTCAGCTAATCATAATTAAGAATCCAAACTACATACAGCAGGGTCCTGAGGAATATATTCAACCAATAGGTGGAGGCACAGCACATGGTTTGCAGCTTTTATGATGAGGATGTGATGATGAATTAACCCCCACACAGACACAACCCCCTCCCTCTTCATCCTGAGCCTTATTTTTCTTTGTGCAATACTTTACTCACATCAGTGCCTGACCATGTCCTCATCTGTGCTAACCTTTGCTCTTCTCTTCATCTGTTTTCACTGTAAGAAATGTCATCCTGAATTGGACATTAAAGCAGTCATTATATCATTATTTATATAACATGCTGAACATTATCTGTGCTTCCTCCACAGGTAAAGTGAGCGCTGTTAGGTTTGAGCAATCTCCTCCCCAGATAGTGAAGGAGAAAACCATTGTTCAGATTAACTGCAGCCATGATGATACGAGCCTTCTATTAATGCTCTGGTATCAGCAAAGACAGGACAGTCAGTCTATAACCCTCATTGGGTATGGATATGGAACAGGTAGCCAAAGCTACGAGGATCAGTTTGAAGAACAATTCAAGCTGACGAGAGAAGGCACAGCCAAAGAGGAACGCTGATGATTCACAGAGCAAACCTGTCGCACTCGGCTGTGTATTACTGCGCTGCAAGTACACAGTGATGTGGTTTAATGCCACTCCCTCACTAAAAACCCTCACCATCCTGTGAATGAGACATTTGCAGATGAGGCAGTGTCTCTCTTTACACTGACTCTCACTGGTGGAAGCTGTGTTTCTCCTGCAGCAGAGCAAACCTGGAGGATGTCTCCAGTTGTGATCGGATTTCTTCTCTTCTTGTTGCCATGTAATGAAATTACCTACAAACAACATTAATGGTTTTTTTCCACAGTTACTTTTGTATCAACAACTATTCTTAATGTGTGCTTTCCCAACAGATCGAGGCCGAGCTAAGAGTGTGACGTTTCAGCAGTCTCCTCCAAAAATAGTCACTAAAAATACTGAAGTGGACTTTAAATGCAGTCACAATGATAGCAGCCTTAATGTAATGCTCTGGTACCAGCAAACAGAGAGCGGTCTGATGAATTTAATTGGATACGGCTTCATTAACAATGAACCCACTTATGAGAAAGAGTTTGAAGATCGGTTTAAGATTACAAGAACAGACGTCCAAACAGGAGGTCTGACTATTCAGAGTGTGAATCTGTCAGACTCAGCTGTGTATTACTGCGCTGCCAGTACACAGTGATGTGGTTTAATATCAGCCCTCACTAAAAACCCTGTTCTCTTCTTTCTCTCTGTTTCAAGTTCAAGATCCTGAGAGGCAGGCTGGTGTAATTAGCTTCAAAACAGATAAACAAAAATAATGTGACTCTTTACAGTCACACAGTCTCAAAGAAGTCCTTTTACTTAAAACTCACTTTTAAAGCACACAGTAGAATTGATGGCTGCAATATACAGGCAAAAATTGTATGCACTGACAAACTCATTTCATTTTTAATTTCAGACTGCCTCATATCCCAGCTATGACAGATTTTCCCAATTCATCCAAATCCATTACTGCTGCTGGTATGTACACTTTACCACCTACAGCAGATCAAACTAAATCAACAAAAGTGAAGATC